TAGACTGCATTTTCTGCTATGCCAACTGCATGCCAAGCACCTTCCTCCTGTCATAGCTAAGGCTCCCCAGACCCTTCGCCTGGTATCACCAACCAGGGGTTATCACCAACCCCATGTTCCAGGTGAGGAGCCTAAGATCAGGAAGACAAGTGGTTTGCCCAGGCCACATGGCCTGTAAGTAATGCAGCAGCTGCCACAACCCCGGTCTCAAACCTAGCGTGCTTGTTCTCCCTTCCACTCACCCTAGCCAAGGCTTCCCTTGGGAGAAATACCACCCACTAGGCAGTGCAGAAGATGTGGTGGGCAGCCAACCCCCACTCAGGGTCAACAAGAATTTGTCAGATTTGCTATTAAAACATGAGACCTTCGCCGGGTGTGGTGGCTCACGCCTGTAATCCTAGCACTTTGGGAGCCCAAGGCAAGTGGATCATGAAATCAGGATATCAAGACCATGCTGGCTAACATGGTGAAGCCCCATCTCTACTAAAAATACAAAAATTAGCCAGATGTGGTGGCACGTACCTGTAGTCCCAGCTACTCAGGAGGCTGAGGCAGAATAGCTTGAACCCAAGAGGCGGAGGTTGCAGTGAGCCAAGATCACGCCACTGCACTCCAGCCTGGCGACAGAGCAAATCTCTGTCTAAACAAACAAACAAACAAACAAACAAAAACAAAACAAAATAAAACATGAGACCAAGGATGCAAGCTGGGCTGCAGACCTGTGCTAGAGGAGGACTGCTGCTGCCCGGGGTGTGGTTCTCATGCTCCCAGGAAGGCAGAGCCCTGGAAGGAGCTGGCTGATATGGCAGCGCCAGCCAGCCCATCACTGCCTGGGGAGGCTGGTAGTCACCTTGAATTCTCAACACTCCTCCTATTTATTCTTGCTTCATTTCATCATGTTGGCTTTGGCGCACTGTCCAAGCCCATAGAGACTATTTGAAGTTTGACTCTGCTATCTCAAAGAGGTTAGAAACTATACCTCCAAGCATGCTTTTACTCTTCTTGAAAGCCATTTTTAAAAACATTCAACAGAAGGCCAAAGCAAAAGCCCTGTTTCTAAACCAGATCTTCCCCATGTTGACATAGGGCTTTTAACCAATGCTCTTAGGATGTGAGCTTTAAATCCTTCTCCTTGGTGGCCCTCACTCCATTACTTTACACACTCAGTATCAGGAAGAGGCACCAGCAGCTTTTCTGAGATGAAGATCAAGAGCAGGGCTCTGAGTCCAACAAGAGACCTCTGGGGCCCTTCTAGCCCAGAGCACTTCTGTGAACCAGAGTCCCGGAGGCTCACAGGCCAGCAGAAGCATGGTGGCTGGTTTCTAAGAAGCAACGCGAAGTTTACTCTGGTACTGAAGGCAGTGGTGGGAACACCTCTGATGAAGGAAGTGTCAGCCCCTGTCCAGATATGAGCTGGGGCAGCTCCCCAGGCTCCCAGGGGCAACTGCAGCTTCCAGGAATCATAGCCATTTGCAAACTCCCATTCCACGCCAACATTCTCTGAGTATTAAGAAGTATATGTATTTCTTGCCAGATGCAGTGGCCTGTAATCCTAGCACTTTGGAAGGCCAAGGCGGGCGAATTGCCTGAGCTCAGGAGTTCGAGACCACCATGGGCAACATGGTGAAACCTCACCTTTACCAAAAATACAAAAATTAGCTGGGTGTGGTGGCACACACCTGTAGTCTCAGCTACTTGGAAGGCTGAGGCATAAGAATCACTTGAACGCTGCGGGTGGTGGCTCACAACTGTAATCCTAGCAATTTGGGAGGCAGGTGGATCATGAGGTCAGGAGATTGAGACTATCCTGGCTAACACAGTGAAACACTGTCACTAGTAAAAATACAAAAAACTAGCTGGGTGTGGTGGCATGCTCCTGTAGTCCCAGCTACTCGGGAAGCTGAGGGAGGAGAATCACCTGAACCTGGGAGGGCAGAGGTTGCAGTGAGCCAAGACAGCACCACTGCATTCCAGCTTGGTGACAGAGCGAGACTCCCATCTTAAAAAAAAAAAAAATCACATGAACCCAGGTGGCAGAGGTTGCAGTGAGCCAAGATCACACCACAGCACTCTAGCTTGAGCATCAGAGCAAGACTCTGTCTCCAAAAAAAAAGTACATGTATTTCTCCTTTTGGTCAGTCTAAATTTTTACATGTTGTATTATCAAGTAATAGAATATTATCTCTGGATACCTCATATTAATAACAGCCTTCCCAGAGTCTGGTAGAGTGACTCACACCTGTAGTCCCAGCCACTCAGGAGGCTGAGTTGGGAGGATCCCTTGAACCCAGGATTTCAAGGCTTCAAGGAGCTGTGATCATGCCATTGCATGCCAGCCTAGACAACAGAGCAAGACCCTGTCTCTAAAATAATAAAATAATAATAATAATAACCTTCCTACATTTCTATAGAGGTGAGAGGAGGTTAACATACAACAACTAAGGGCAATGGCACCCATATTTTAAGCATATCCCTTACCTTGGGCTAAGGCAGCTCTCTGTGATCTCTCATCCTCCCAATCACTCTCCAAAATGGATACTATTATCCCTGTTTTGCAAATGACAACACAGAGACTTAAGGGTGTGCCACAGTCTAGGCTTAAATAGCCAATAAGTGACAGAGGATGTCTGACCACCGAGCTCTGGCTTTCCCACTACTCCTTTCAAGGCCATTTGCAGTTGGTGAAGTCAGTCTAACAGACTGGCAGGACACTTTGATTTCTGCTGCCCAGAAAGCAGACAGAAATGGGCAGGAAAGGATGCCAGTGATGCACAGCTGGCCTGATGCCTGAGCCTCTGAACCCTGACAGCAGCAAGGAGCCCTTCTCCAGAAAACAAAAGGTCAGCAATCAGCAGCATTTTCTATACCAAAATTCCCACCAAAGACAAGAATGCCCAATGTCATGACACATATGAATCAAGGCCTCTTTCACTCCAGAGGAAATACGTAGGAATCAGCTGAATCTGAGGTGGCTTTCTCCAAAAAATTCTGATATGTCATTGGAAAGCTAGAAGGAACTTAAACATTGCTGATTCTGGGCTCTGCTCTGTGCCACAGCTATCCCAGGCATTCTATCTACCAGTAACCTTCCCAATCATCCTTAAGGTTGGGGTTTACAATTTTTCACCATCCAAAGAGGAAACCAAGGTCCTAGAGGTGAAGGGTGGAGCCATGGGTTATGCCCAGATTTACCTAGCTCTAAATTCAGTTCTCTTCCCGCCACCAGATTTGGAGTTACATACACATATTCCCCTATTCCCCTGGACACCTCCACACCGACTTCCTGCAGAAGCCTCAAATCAGCATGCCTCTCTGCCAACTACCAACCTCAGTTCGAGCCACTATGACCTCTCCAGGAGAACAAGCCAAGTCATTTCTTGGACCTTCTGTTTGTCCCTCAGTTCTGCCATTCTCTCTGCTACATAATGAAACGGTCTCTCCTGCCATTCTATGGCTATAGCCCCAAAGCCCAGACCTCTGCATTTCTCCCCTGGGCTTCTTTTTTTCTTTAACAAACTTCCTGCCTCCAGTGTTACCCATTCTGAACCACTATCCATAAAAGTATACAAACTGGCTTTCTAAAGCAAAGAAAAGTGCTCCTGCTTACAAGCTTTCAGTGGTTCCCCACTGCCTAGAGCAAAGTTTCCCAAAGTGAAAGATGTTTTGGTGGCACACAGATCAGGCATTATATTGCAAAAAAAGTATTAACATTTTGGTTCTCTGTCCATCTCTTTGATTGAATGATGAGAAAGTCTCAATTGGAGGCATAATCTACTTTGACCTCTCTAAAATGCCCAAATCTCCCTTTATAACAAAAGCAAATCATAGCTCAAATTCATAGCCTATAGCAAGAATTTGACAACTGTTTGGTTTTCAGTGTGTGTGTGTGTGTGTGTGTGTGTGCGCGCGCATGTATATATGTGTGCTTGTGTATATATGTGTGATTGTTCTACTTTTGGAAAGGCCATTGGTTTTCTACTTGCCTTAGTGGTGTAAAATTTCCTTATGATTATTTACAATTTAAAAACTGGATTATAAAAATATATTAAGTCAGAATATATATGGCATTGAGCCTTAAGAGAGATTTGAAGATGGTTCTAAAATGACTGTAGTTTGAGTAAGACTGGCCCCTACCCTTACCTAGCACCCAGAACAGTTCTCTCAGAAGCTGGGCCATACCCTCCAAGTTCCCCACATCTCTTCACTGTCTTCCCCTCCTACACTCCACCTCTACTCGGACACACAAACCCACCATTTCCTGAATTCGCCATGGTCTTTCAAAACTTCACGCCTCTGCAGGTGCTGTCTACCTTGCCTAAACCAGGTCTCCAAGAAAAGCCTGAACTAGTACAAATACCATATCTCACTCTTTAAGATTTGCAATACACAGAAGTGTATTAAAGATGAAAGGCTCTGAGAAGTTCTTTAAACAGTGGGAGCAATTGCTGAACTGAGTTTAACCAGCACCTCTCAACTAACAGGTTCTCTTCTTTCCCCACATTAACACACCATGGAACATGTTCTACAAGGCATGCTTTGGGAAACACTGGCCTAGAATGTTGTACTTTCCCCCACCTGATCAATTCTACTCTGAACTTATCCTTCAAGAACTCACTCATTTCTTTGAGAAGTCTTTCCTGCCTCCCCACATAGATTCAGTTGTTCTCTCTCATATATGCGCCTATAAGACTGTGAGTTCCAAAGGTATGGTTTAACTCATGGGAATTCAAAGGTGAGCATTCAGTGAGAAGCAGCACAGGGTACTTTTCCCCATAACTCCATTTAATAAGCTGATGTGCCAAAGTGATCCCTGAATTGTCACAGTTCTTACAGGCCCCTCCCAATGTGACCATCTCATTGGGTGAGTTGGAGGGAAGGGGGAGGGACGGAGAGAGTTGGAGTGAGGAGGAGAGAAAAGAAAGAAGAAAAATAGAGGCAGAGAGAGAGGGGCAGGAAAGGAGGGCCGGCCATCTTTAAATACTGTTTTATAAGACTCTTACTCAGATAGAGCTAGGTTAGATGGTTCAGAATTAAGTAAGAAGCCCTGAATTACAGCAACAGAAGTACTCTTCTTCATTCTGATATCCAAAGATGCAATTTTCTTGAACTAGAGCTCTTAAGGGGCCCCCTCGCCTGCAGGCAGAAGTGCTGCACAGGCCAGTCTGGGTCTGGAGAGCCAAGCATGTATCTGGTGCAGACACCTGGCTGTCCATCCACTGCTCTTCCCACAACCACAGCTGCTCCCTTCTACAGCTGGGCTTATTCTGTCTCTGGGACAGCCGTGAGAAGTCTGCAGCAGAAGTAAAGTCCCCACCAAGCTCCGCACCATCTGTGTCTCAGTGTCCTCATCTGTTAGAGAGAAGCCCACCTACCTTACAGGTCACTATGAGGATTGAAATAATATGTTGAGCAACCAATGTTAATAAGCAAACACTAAAGGTGATTATTATATCTACCCTCTTTTTCTCATATCGAAAGATTTTCACCTCTTCACACAGATTCATGGTCACTAAGAGAAATTACTGCCAGCAGCCGTGTTTTATACAGCTGTTTATATGTCCTACTCTCATCATCTTTCCTTCAGGTAGGTCCAGTTTTCAAAACAGATTTGTGTTCTGTGCTCACGCAGACAGAAGTGACCAGCTTGCTCCAAGCCAAGTTAATCCCACAGCAGAGATGGAACCTTTCCCAATACTCTTTCCTCTAATGCTTGGATTCAAGTTCAAAATGTGCCTGATAAAGACAAGGATAATTTGGGGAGGTTAATGATTGGTCAAATGCCTCCAAGCAAGCCAAGCACAAGGAGGAGCTCCTGCCTCCTGCCTCCTCCTGGAGGCCTAGTGGAATTCTGTCACAGGGTTGTTTACAAATATTACCAGATTTTGCTGAGGGCCAATGGATCTAAGCTCTCTGGACAGTTTCCTCCCAGAAAGGTGTTCACACAAGCAAACAGGCTAGTCTGGGTCTGGAGAGCTCATACAATCCCTCTCCACACACCACCATCATTCAAGTTCCACGTTCCTTAGAAGAACATAGGATATAAAATTAAATACCAGCATGATTTGTGGACCGCATTTATCCCCTACATCTTAGCAGAGATTCTGAAATCAACATCACATTGCATTGTAAAACACTTAAAGAGTCATTATTTTAACTTGAAAAAGGAGGACACAGACATGTTCCAAATGGGTTGCTACACTTAGGACACCCCACTCCCAAAATGCTGTACTGTCAATAATTCTTTACAAGAATAGTTTTTTAAAGGCATAAAATAGTGATGCACTAAAGAATTCCTTAGCAGGCCAGGGCCTCCCAAAGTTATCTAGCCCATCTCTCAGCTCCAGGAAAGCCCTCCCTTTCAGACAACTATCCCAGTCATGCAAAGCAAGCCAGATCTGTGGGATGAGGATTCAAGATAAATTAGGTCAAAGAATAAGCCTCTGGAAAAGCAAGAGTTTTCATAAAAATGGAAGCCTACACTCAGCCTGCTCAGACATTAGTAAATGTGGGAGGGGCTGAAGGCAACTTAATGGTCTAATAAAATGTTTACACGGGCGAAGGATTCTTACAGACAAACCTTGCCTGAGATCAGCAGACCATCTGCTGGGGTCTAGAGACCCTATTATTAGGCAGATTTCACTAAGATGCCATTAACTGTGGGAGGGAACACATCCTCAGCCTCATGGCCCAGGGACTCCTCCCCTAGGGCACCCCCGCCAGCAGGAGTCCAGCCCTGTTCTTCCCCTCGCTAGGCTCAGCTTGGAACCCTTTTTCCCTCCCTCCATCTCTGCACTGCTCAGAGGCAGTTAAAAGGGGGCTTCTGTGTCTGTCTCCCAGTATACTGGGCAGGGGTCTTACCAGACACATCTGAGTCCCTGAGCTCTGCACAAGGCCTACCTGGCCCAGAGGAGGGGTCCAATAATCTTCAGGTGACCAGATGAGTGAGCATACAAATGAACAAATCAATAAATGATTAAGCAAGGGGACAACTGAACGAAGGAAGGGTGCCTATCCCTCATTTTAATTAATTTTAACTAGTTTCTTCAACTAACACTTTTTGAGCACCAAGCTTATATCAGGTCACACAGAATTAGTAAACAGTGAATCCAATCTTCCTTATAACCTACAACTTTACAACTTCAAGTTGAACAACTCTTCTAGGGAAGCCTGTCATGCAGCAGACAAAAGAACCTAATGCGGGAAGTATAACAACTGGGCTCCTTTCTTTTCCATTATCATCCAGGTAAATAAGTCTTTTATAATCAAGTTTTGATCCATTCTGTCACTTGACCAGGCAAAAATGGCTGAGTGGGTCCCACTGAAGCACCAACTTGGGAGGGTCTCACTGAAGCACCAACTGCTCAGCACACTTACCATGTCCTGGGGAAGGTGGCACCCCAGGAAGGGGCCGACACACATCCTACTTCTGTCCTGGCACTGTGCAAACTGGATTTGAATGTGGAGATGCTCCCAGGGAAGGAGTGGCTGGCAGCAGCGTATTTGTTAACAAGAGATATTGATTCTCAAGAGCAACTCTAGGGAGGCTACCTGAACACAGAGTGATCAACACAGACACTGTGATCAACAGCAAAACTCTGAAAGAACCCTCCCTCAGACACAAGGAGAGGTAGGAAAATATCCAATCTTAGAGCAAGCTAAAACAAGCAAGGAAATTCTACCAAAAATTAAGAAATAAATGTCATAATTAAAGCAATACAAATATTAGTAACCATAGCAATAATAACAGTTAATATTTATTGAGAGTTGACTGTGCAACAGGCTTTGTTTTAGGCACTTTACATACTAATTCATTAACCCTCACGACTGTCATTAAGTGCATACAATATTATTATCCTTATTTTACAGATAAGAAGCTGAGGTAAAAAGTGGTAGTCACCAGCTCAAGATCCCAAAACAAGCAAGTGATGGAGCCAGGAGTCAAGTAGCATGGTGCTAGAATCTGTGCTCTTAACACTTCCATTGCACGACACTGTCCAGAATCTTCTATATTCTTTCCTTATAAAAGTTAACCACCGTTTACAAAGGACTTGTTCCTTTGGAATACATCACTTAATATTAGAATATGGAAGTCACTGAGAAAATACGACTCACTTCACAGAGCTGCTTTGCAGCCCACTTAGAGAACTATCTCTCTAATACAACACTCCTACAAATAACACTGGTGTTTCATTTACATTTGGTAACCATGTTTCCTGCTAAAAATTCCTGGGATTATTGATGTATTCCAAAACCAGGTTTCCTATCTAATGGAGTGCCAAGCTTGACATTCAACTGGCCAAGTATAACAGTAGCTCAATTATTAAATCAATAAGATAGGTGGTATCAATTAACAGATTATCCTGGAAACTTCTGTTACAACTTCATCCTCTAAGCTCACATTCACTCCAAAATGTAGATATCCTCATGTTGCATAATACAAAAAGGTAGATACCGCCTGGGAAAAGTCCACCAGCTTTGAGGGCTAGCAGACCTGGCTCCAGCCTCATTTCTGCCCCTACTCACGTCACCTGCAGCAGATGATTTATTTCCTACAGGCCGCCATCTCCTCAATGCTCTTGACTCACACCTAACACATGCAGGGGACCTAGTCCAGTGCCCACTCACAAGGGAGGTGGCTGATCGTGCTGGCTGACCTTTGCCTTCCTTATTCCTGGATTTGTGTCCATTCCCTTCCTATGCCATTGCCAACACTCAGCATCTTCCTCGGCCCAGGTGGAAACAATGACATTACTTTAAAGAAATAGCCTATCATTATTTAAGATTATGAATTAGGACATGCCTGAAGGGAAATGTGAATGGCACGGCCTTTGCCATAATATAAGCATCACTAAATGGCTAAAAATCAAATCACGTCCCCCAGCAAATTCCATTAGAAAGTCAGCAATGAAACAAAGACCTTGCCATCTCTGCTGTTTCACAAATTGTCTCAAATTTCCTACATTTGGGCAAAACCATTAATTTATACTATCTACAATCTGTACCCTACCAACTGTCTGATCCATGGGCCAAATAATCCACTCCTAGAAAGTAAAAATCTATATGAACACGTTAAAACCATGTTAAAAAACATATCGGGTGAGACTGAGGCAAGTTTAGAGGGAAATTTATAGCTTTTTATGTTTAATATTAAAAAAAATCAGTCGGTATAATTCATCACACTAACAGAATGAAGACGAAAAACTATATAATCATTTCAGTGGATGCAGAAAAAGCACTTGACAAAATTTAACAACCACTCCTGATAAAACACTCACCACACTAGAAACAGAAGGAATTTCCCCAACACAGTAAAGGATGTGTATGAATATTCCACAGCTAACACCATACTTACTAGAGAAATATGAAATTATTTGTCCCCATGATCAGAACGAGGAAAGGATGTCCACTCTCACCATTTCTACTCAACATTTTACTGGAAGTTGTAGCCAGTGTAATAAATCAAGAAAAAGAACATAAAGGTTAGAAAAAGGTATAAAAAGTAGAAAGAAGGAAGTAAAACTATCTGTATTCATAGGTGACATGATTATTTATGTAAGAAATCCTACATTTATTTATGTAGGAAATTCATGTAGGAAATCCTAAGGAGTCTATAAAACAACCACTAGGACTAATAAGAAAGTTTAGCAAGGTTGCAAGATACAAGATGAATACACATAAACTAATTATGTTAATATATTAGCAACACATTTTAAAATATCATTTATGATAGCATCAAAATACATAAAAGACTTAGAAGTAAATTTACCCAAATATGTACAAGACCTCTATACTAAAAACTTAAAAAGACATACATAAGTAAAGAGATGTGCTAAGTTTATAGATTGGAAAATACAATATTGTTAAGAGTCAATTCTCCCTGAACTGAGCTAAAGTTTCAATGCACTCCCAATCATAATCCCAGAATTCATTTTTTTTTGTAGAAATTGAAAAGCTGCCTCTAAAATTTATATGGAAATAAAAAGGACCAAGAATATTCAAAGCAATATTGAAAAAGAACAAACCTGGAGGACTTACATTTCTTAACTTCGAAACTTACTATATAAAACTACTGACAAAGACAGTGTGATGTTGGTGTAAAGACAGACAAACAAATCAAAGTATAATAGAGTCCAGAAAAAGACCTACACTTATTTGGTTTACGTAATTTTTAACAAAGGCAACAAAACAATCCAAAGGTCTTTTCAAGAAATGATGAACTGGAACAAATGAATAACTATATGAAAAAAAATCAACTTTGACCCCCATCTCACACCACATACGAAAATTAATTCAAGATAGATTATAGGCCTAATTGCAAACACTAATGTTATAAAGCTTTTTAGAAGGAAACAGTGAAATGTTTTCATAACTTGGTGATAAGCAAAGGTTACTTAGAACATAGAAAGAAATAACTATACAGAAAAAAGTGATGAATTAGACTTCATCAAAACTTTTGCTTATTAAAAAGACTCCATTAAGAAAACAAATAGACAAGCCACAAATTGTCAGAAGGTATTCACAATACATATATCTGACAAAGGACTGATAAACAGGTTAAAGAACTGCTATAACTCAATAACAAAATAATTTTTAAAATCTAATAAAAAGTAGGCAAAATATTTGAAAGCTGCTTCACAAAAGACTTACAGATAGACAATAAACACATTACAAAGCATTCAGTGTTATTAGTCATCAGGGAAATGCAAAATAAAACCACAAGTAGATATCACCCACCAGACTTGAAAGCTGAAAACTAGAATATCAAATATTGCCAAGGATATGGAGCAACAGGAACTCTTCTTCACTGCTGGAGGAAGTATAAAATGGTACAACCACTTCAGGAAAAGCCCTGATAGTGTCTTACAAAGCTAAACATACATCTACCCTATAATCCACCAATTCCACTCCTAGGAAAAGAGAAATGAAAACACATGTCTACAAAAAGACAGTTACAAGAATGTTCATAGAAGCTTTATTCATAAGAGCACAAAACTGGAAACAACCCAGATGTCTATCAATATGAGAAAGAATAAATAAATTGTGGAATATTCATAACACAGATTAGCATTAAAAAGGAAAAAACTACAGATACAAGCAACAACATGGATGAATCTCACAGTAAGTGAAAGAAGCTTTACACAAACAGTACATGCTGTATGATCCCACTTACATGAAGTCCTAGAACAAGAAAAACTAATCTATGGTAGAAAAAAATCCTAAGAGTGAATATCTCTGGGGGACTGGGGGCTGGGGAAGGCACATAGAGGAACTTTCTGGAACAGTGGTTCCCAAACTTGTCTGCACATTAGTATCATCTGGAGATCCTTGAAAAGCTCCCACAGCACAAGTCCAAAGCTTGACGCCCAGCATCCAGGATACTTAGATCATCTTGGGTGGGATGCAGGCCTCAATCTTTATAGAAGCTTCCCAGATGATTCCAATATGCAGACAGCTTTAAGAACCATTGATCTGGGTTGACAGTAATAATCTATATCGTGGTAGAATTTGTGTTACACAGGCACAGGAGTTTGTCAAAATTCAAAGAACCACAGGACTGAGATTTGTGTGTTTTGTTGAGCACACATTTTATATACAATAAAACCTCAAAAGAAAAAGGATTCTTTACAAACATAAATTTTATCTGAGGTATTTAGCAGGACACTGATATCTGCGACTTACTCTGACTTGCATCCTGTACGTCTACTCATCCCCTAGTACCTTGGCAGGAAAGCAGGTGTAGAGCAATTAGATAGAGCATGGTGTTGCCCGAGGTATAGGACATACCCTGACAGATTTAAGGTGACATGCACTTTTTTTATTGTGGTATTTAGGTATTTATTTTAATATGCACTGGAGGAAAATGGAATTAGTATTTTAAACTCATTATTTCAAGGCTAATATTACTTAGGTTAAATAAAAGAAATTAGTCTGTTTAAAAATAATAATAAAGCTGGTGCATAGATAAGATGAAAATGGCAAAGGTGAGGACTGTGACCAACCCAAGTCCGAGATCACCAGCAGCACAAATCACCAGCAGTTAACAACATAATCAAACAGCAAACTGTCCCATCCCAGGACTGTGGGGAACTTTAACTTCTCTCTTCCTTGAGCCCTCTACTTGACCCTACAGTGCCACATTCACCCAAGTGACCACAGATGTCCTGAAAAAAAGGCAACTTAATGAGACAATCTTGGTGGTATAAAACCAGGACGCTGACTGCAAAGAACAAAGGCTTATTCCATAACAGTCTCACGATTGTTCTGCAGAAAACCTGCATCAAATTCATTTTTGCCCAATTCTATTCTGCCAGACTTAATTCTCCCCATCGTTTCAGCTAGCATTCTTTCCTTACCTGCCAAAGGCATGGCTGGGGATCTGTAAAAACATGGCCACAAAGAGATTCATGTCAGAGTTCAGAGACAGAAAGATTTCCTTGTGTTACCATCACAGAATTGGAGGTCTGGCTCTTAGTAGACAGACAATAAATATATGATGAGTGAAAGCTGACTGATCTTGAGCCTGGCCTTTTCAAATCCAAGTTTATAAACCCAGGTGTGTATGATGGTGCCAGGCACAGAAAGTCATAAGATAAAGTTATCCCTGAGATTTTAGACAAGGCTTTACTTTTCCTCAATGGTAACTCGCTTAAAATAATATTTTTAGGCTCGGCGCGGTAGTTCACACCTGTAATCCCAGCACTTTAAGAGGCTGAGGTGGGTGGATCATCTGAGGTCAGGAGTTCGAGACCAGCCTAGCCAACATGGTGAGGCCCTGTCTCTACTAAAAATACAAAAATTAGCAGGGCGTGGTGGTGCATGCCTGTAATCCCAGCTACCAAGGAGGCTGAGGCAAGAGAATCACTTGAATCTGGGAGGCAGAGGTTGTAGTGAGCAGAGATCTTGCCACTGCACTTCAGCCTGGGCAACAGAGTGAGACTGTCTCCAAATATATATATATATTTTATAAAACAGACAACCAGTATGTCCTTTTTTGGGGGGAGGGGGGCAATTTGGCAATACTTATTAAAATGCAACTGCCCCAACAATTTCCAATTCTAAGACAGAAACTTGTGGAAACACTTCTACAAGGTACAAAGAGATTATGTTCACCTAGCAAAAGACTGGAGACACCCCAAACATCCACCATTAAAAGACTGGTTAAATGGTAAAGACACAAGGGAATAGCCTACAGCCACTAAACAGAGTGAATTTGAACTCTCTGAACTCATGCTCCAAGACATTGCTAAGCAGAGGGAAAGCAAAATGCAAAACAGCAGAGGTAGTATAGTCTCACACTTAACTTTAAAAACAAATTTTAAAATCACAATACTAATAGACTAACATAGGCATAAATATACATATGTGTGGACAAAGCCAGATGAATAGGCACCAACCCTCTATTAACAGCACTGTAAAGGAATGAGGAGGCTCTAGCATTCTCTGAAGGCATTTATAAAATGCTGGAGTCATGGAAACTTTGTAGTAAGAAAAAAGGTTTAAAAACAGTGTATGCTGACGCATAAAAATGCACTTAAAAACACATACACGCACACACACACACACACACACACAGGCTGGGCATGGTAGCTCACACCTATAATCCCAGCACTGTGGGAGGCTGAGGCAGGCAGATCACCTGAGGTCAGGAGATGAAGACCAGCCTGGCCAACACACAAAAATTAGCCGGGCGTGGTGGCACATGCCTATAGTCACAGGTATCCGGGAGGCTGAGGCAGGAGAATTGCTTGAACTCGGGAGGGGGAGATTGCAGTGAGCCAGGACGGTGCCACTGCACTTCAGCGTGGGTGACAGAAAGAGACTGTCTCCAAACAAAACAAACACACACATATGAAAAATGTCTCTTTCCTGGCCTTCAGACCTGCACCTCCACACCCAAGTGATGTTCCCTCCCTCGGCATTGTGTGGCCCTTCACAGAAAGGTGCAGCAGCACTGTTGAAGAGCACTCTTTTTGTGTGTAAGGAGCCTTCTTCAGAAAGGAATGTTCCCAGTGTCCCTGCAAAAGAGAGGATGGTATCCTAACGCTCCCTGCCAGCCAGGCTCGCGGCCTTGTCGCTGGTTCTCATATCCAGCATTCTCTGGCTGGCCCTGTGCAGGAAGACACTGAGAACCACATGTGCTGCCGGAAGAGTGCCCTTTCTGAACTGGAAGCCACTGATGTGTTCTGAGCTTTCTGGTTGTGTTTTAACGGAGCTGGGGTTATTATTGAAGATCCTTTCTTGGGACTTTTGCTTTTATTTAAACATACATATACATAATTCAACCACAAGAACTACTTCTCAGGAAGAAATGCTAAGAGGCCACTGTAATGTAACCTTATTAAGCCAAAGCAACTAAGAGACGGAACAAGTCTACCAAATTTGAAAATGGTGAGATAATGAAATGGAGGCACTCTACTCCAGAGCTATGTAAAAATAGTTTTTGCAAAGTTCAAATGATTGCTGGAGGCAAGAAGAGCTGGCCTCTCTTCTCCTTCCCTTTCATTCTCCCTGAAACAACATCACTCAGGGCTACAACCATCTGTAGCTGCCAGGGGAAGCCACAATACATTCAGAAAGTCTTGGACCCACTTATCCCTGAGCTCGGAACTGCACAAACAAAAGGTTAAGGGAAGGGGGATGGGGTACAGGGAATAAAGGCTTAAAGATTAAAGTCACAGGCAGAGACAGGCTCAGTTTTTTAATAACTGA